TTGGTTTGTTAGAATAAACCATATTTTGCACCACATTAGATATTGACAGTCACATACTATGTTCCTTGTCATTCATAATGTGCTAGGCATTTTCCAACTCTAATTTGGTCTCTTTTGCAGCCACTTCGGAACTTTAGGCTTTTTATTTTTTATACTTCTTATACTCTTGTGCACAACACTAAATGAACCTTTTGCAGCATTATTTTGGTTGATGGACACTTACTGCATTTATTGCTTCATTTCTTTGCAAACTTAATCTATGATCAAATCATATTTTGTTAAAAAGCATACTGACGATTGTTTCATTTTTCTAACCAAAAAAAAAATATTTTATTTTCAGCATTCAACTAATATAAATTATTAAGCTTATCAAGGCATTAAGTTTTGCTTATCATATATTTAGGGAAAAATTTCAACTACACCCCCTCTAGTTTATTATATCTTCAAGGACACCCCTCTATTTTTTGAATCTTCAATGACACCCCTATCAGATTAAAAATATTAACTAGAATGCAATTTTACTAAATTGTCATGATATATTTGAGGACAAACTTCATCCACACCCCCTCTAGATAAGCATATCTTCAAAGAGACCCCCTCTATTTTCTAATTTTTTTTACATATTAAACTTCGAGCCGATTAAAATTCGATTCATTATATATTAAAATTTCAGCCGATTAAAAATTATATTTTTTTCCGTATTAAAATTTGGGCTAATTAAAATTCTATTTGAGCCGATTAAAAATTATTTTTAATTGACTCAAATCAAGTTTTAATCAACTCGCATTGAATTTTAATCGGTCCAAATTTTAATTGACTCAAATTTTAATAAATCAAATTTTAATTGACACGAATTTTAATAAGTAAAAAAATATAAATTTTAATCAACTCGGAAGTAAATTTTAATCGGCACTAACAACTCGGGTAGAGTTCAAATCGGCTCAAATTTTAATATGTAAAAAATAAATTTTAAAAAGCTTGAATTTTAATATGTTTAAAAAAATAAAATTTAATCAGCTTCAATTGAATTTTAATTGGTTCAAATTTTAATATGTAAAAAAATAAATTTTAATCGGCTCGAATTTTAATAAAATTTTATGTAGAAAAATTACTTGAGCTTTATGTAGGGGCTTTTTGGTATTTTAGATGAATATTTTTGTTATAAATGATAGTTTAATGGTAGGGTGTGTTAGTGATGTTTAAATATAAACTTGAAGGAGTGTCAATGATATTTTTGATAATAGAGGGGATGTTCTTGAAGATATAATAAACTAGAAGAGGTGTAACTAAAATTTTCCCTATATTTAGTCTATTATGCAGGATGATTGTTTCAAATTTATATATAGGTCAGGTCAACCTTCTTACTTGTTAGCAAATGTCATAAAGCTGGTGCATTGAGTAATCTTGCCTTTTATGAGTAAAGAATCCTTTGTCGAAATTGTAAGATTTTACCGATATGTCTATTTTAAAAGTAAATGTTGCAATAGGCCACCTTTCTTTCAAGGCAATTATGTGTCCTAAATTTAATATTGATTTTGTTTTTTAATGTTTCAATGTATCTCATGTACTGATCATCTTTTGGTGATGTTAGAAACGTAGTTGGCTTTAGTGATCCGACTTTTAGTCCTTTCTCATCTATTTGAGTAATCAATTCAAGTAGTATACGAATTTTTTTTTTTCTCTGATTATTTTACTTTGCGTATTAAATTCTTAACTAGATATATATAAACTTAAACCTTGTTTTTTACAATGGGTTCACGTGCAAAACACGTGTGCACCAACTAATTATTATTACTAATAAAAGTACCTTAGATGAAAGCTTTTGAATTTCTCTTCTACCCTCAAACAAACTTATAAAGACAATTATACCTCATACTAATAATTTCATTTAAAACTTTTGAGTTTCTATTTTGTCATTAAATAAATATATGAACATTTGTGGCTTAAATCATAAAAAATTGACATTTTGTGTACCCTTAAAGAAACTTACAAATTCAATGATTACCAATATGTTTATATCTATATTTATATTTATATTTATACTACTAATAAAAGTATGTTAACATGAAAAATTTTTTATTCACTATTTAACCCTCATAAAAAATTTAAAAGGTCACTCTATCATTTCACACCTAATATTTAAATTACCATCATATCCCTATGCATTTAAATCTGTAAATTACATCTAAAATCACTTTTAATTATATATTTCTTATATATAAATGTTAATTTTTATGAAATTTTTTGATTGATTATATTATTCTTAAAAAATATATGTATCATTATAAATTTTTTTAGTAGTATAGATATTCCCTATGTATAAATGTCAATTTTATGAAACTTTTTGATTGATTATATTACTCTTAAAAAAATATGTGCATCATTATAAGTTTTAACAAAATAATCAAAAAAACCTTAAAAAAATTCATCAATATAATATTACTCACCTCATTGATAAAGATAATATTATAACTACACATGTATATTTTATTTTTTATCAAAATATTTAACCCTGTATGCATATTTTATTTTATTTTATCAAAATGTTTAACCCTTTCATTTTTAAGATAAAAAATAGTGTATATATAGTTTTACATAATTTTTAGTTATAGTAAACTTTTCAGATTGCGTTAAGATTTTATGTGAAAATTTAATTTTTTAAAAATTTTAATATGTTTTATAATATATATTATAGCATTGTATATTAAATTCTATCCCAATTGACCTAAATAATCCTAAATACATAAATGTTCTAATATAATTTGTATATTGATAATTATTATAATTTTATTCAATGATTTATAAGTGAAATTTTAATCAAATTAATTTTTTAATTATCTATTATCTATTTATAAATGTCAATTTTTGTGAAACTTTTTGATTGATTATATTACTCTTAAAAACTTTATGTATTATTATAAGTTTAACAAAACATTCAAAAAATCTTTAAAAACTTAATCAATATAATATTACTCATCTCGTTTATAAAGATAATATTATGACTATATATGTATATTTTATTTTTTATCAAAATGTTTAACCATTTTATTTTTAAGATAAAAAATAATGTATATATAATTTTACATGATTTGTTAGTTACAGTAAAATTTTTAAACTGTGTTAAGATTTTATGTGAAATTTTGAATTTTTTTCAAATTTTAATATGCTTTATAATATATACTAGTCAGAACCCGTACATGAAGGCACGATAAAATATAAAATTCGAGCGTCTAAAAAATCAATCTCATTATATTAATTTTTTTCAAAATATATTAACTACAAATTAATCAAATATTAAATGATTAAATATATGATAGAAATGAGTGATGTGTTTTAGGGAAGAAATATATAAATTATTAAACATATAATAGAAATAAGTTATGCGATTTGATGTTTGAGTCTGACAAAGGGATGATGAGTGAGATAAGTGATTGGTGATGATTTTGAGGGAAAAAATATGACTGTGATAAAATTCAAACACACTCCTATTTTATTGTATAAATTGTAGCGTTGTATATTAAATTTTATCTCAATTAACCTAACTAATCCTAAATAAAGTAACATTGCAGTACGATTAGTATATTGATAATTATTTTTATTTTATTCAGTGAGTAATATAGAGGTAATTACAAAAATTACAAATTTTGTCCTACAAATTTTGTTTTTTCACCAACGTCATCTAACCATCAATTTATGCTATCAAAGTGGGCACCAAGATCATGGAGCAAGATGGGTTGATGAAATTTGACTTTTTTTGCAACTTTGAATGAAAATGTTTTACATTCTCCATTCCAAGTTTTTTTTCCACTTCAATATACCTTTTTTTTTAGGAGAACATCGACGGTGCAAGAAAATTTTATTGATTAAAAATTAAATTACACCTAGATATGGGGGATATATTTTTCTTACCCCTCGATGCAATTTAATTACAATGTGATAAGGAATTAAAAATTCTAATGCATGATTTTACACGAAAAAACAAAAAAAAAATTTCCTAACTGATGAAATAGCAACTGAAATGTGCTGGAATGCTGAACAGTGATGTGAACAGGATTCCAGCTACATAGTAATTAAATGAGCTGTGGGCAGTACAACAGCAGTTGCCTTGAATTGAAAATAAACTGAGGATTTGAAGCTAAAATTGAGCTACAAGCATCAATTACTTGAGCTGGAAGAGATGAAGGAGCTAAGTCATAATCAGTGGAAGTGCTTATCCAATAAGGCAACTGATAACGTAGCCGCCATATATATATATATATATATTTTTTTTGAACCTCGACAGTGCGAGAAAAATTTATTGATTGATAATTAAATTACACCTACCTAGGAAAGCGTATACACCTTACTTCTCGATAAAACTAATTACATTAAAAATAAAATAAAATAACCGATGAAAATGCATGCCTAGTACAAAAAATAAAGAAATAAAATCTAGACATGCTACTTATAAATGAGAGAGGTAGCCGAAGGGATCCAAATGAGGTAAGAGCATCAGTTGTATTAAATTGGAAAAAAAGTTGAGAGCAGTAGCTAAGAGAGCCAAGATGAGCAATATGTAGCAGCTATTTTGAGCTAGGAGATAGCTGAGAGACGAGCTGAGGGCAAGGCTGAGTTGTGTGACAAGCTAGAGAGGCTGAGTTGTGTGCATGACAGATCTGGAGAGTGAGAGGTCATCTGATAAGGCAGATGAACAGACTGCCTTGGAAATTTAAAGGCTAGACGATAATGTATCTGAAAGGTAGGTGAACAGTTGATAGGGCCCTTCAGCACTAGAACAGGTGATAAGCTATCAGATAAAGCTTTTGCAGGACATAGGAAATTGAAATGCCAAACGATAAGCCAGCTGCCTTATTGCTAAAGTGTCTATCAATCAAAAGAAAACCCTCTGAGAGACACATGAACTCCTGGGAACCTGCACATCACTCTGAAAGATTATCAAAGAAACGTCTGAGAACCAAATGGAGAAAAGCCAAATCCAGCAATGCAATATGAACTCTAACAAAGAGCAAAGAAGATGAATTTCCAAGGGTGAAAACAGCCACAAAGCCTCAGTGTAGAAGATGAATATCCAGCACGGAAACCAGAAAACCCATATTCAACAAAAGCATCTGAAAAGACAAAGATTCAACAAAAGACCAAACAATCAGAGGAATCCCACTGATCAAAGGAATCCCAACCTTCCGACAGTGCCTGCTGATGTTTGGAGGAGATCCGAAAAGGCATGTACCATAATTCCATATTGTTGATTTATTGCTTTTGTTGATCCTGAGGATTTTATAATGGCATGAACAACTATTCCCTTTTCTTCTGGAGAATGTAGGCCTCATATTAGAGTAGTAGAAGGCATGTAAACTCTGAACTGTGTAAACAGACTGTTTTGATTGTTTGAAAATGTGAACGAATGTGTTTTTATTCCTACATCATATCTCTGATCTACCTCTATGAATCTCTACCATATCATGAAACCTGTGAAGCACTTCGATATACCTAGCTTGACCTTTATTGGAAGCAAAAAAATCCGAATATTCCTAGTATATCTCCGTTGGAATACCATTATTTTTGGTAAGATTACAAATTTTTTGAGAAAATTACCACTTTTTGAGGGAAAGATTACTAATGTTGAGGTAAGAGTATCATTTTTTTGGTTAACATTACAACTTTTTTGGTTAGAATATAATTTTTTGGGTGTAACATTATCTCTTTTAGTTGGTAAGAATACTATTTTTTTTGGTAAGATTATCAATTATTTGAGGTTAGATTACCACTTTTGAGGGAAAGATTACAACTTTTTGGTTAATGCTTCAACTTTAATATTGTAAACCCAAGCGCAGATTGAGCAAAGTAATATATTTCTCAAAAGACCGAGGTCGAACCCTCAAGAAATTATAACAAGAAAACAATCACACAAATACTTAAATAAACTTAAAAATAAATTATTTGTTTAAGAAATTGTTGAGCAAAGAAAATTGATTTAAATAATTAAAACAGTAATATAAAAAATATTAGAGTATCAGGTACTTCCTCTCAATTCCATACAATAATGATTAAAGACTCAAATATTAACTTGAGACAAGAATTAGATATCGGTTGATTCGAGCAACAAATCAAGTAAGAAAATCAAAAGATTATTCAGAAACCTGAATAATCATCCAATTATATTATTTTATGAAATAATGATAATTACCTCAAACGTGAAATAACCAATTATTTACTCGTAGGGAAATTCAAGCAATCGATGTACATGACACAACGACTCAATGATTTTTACAGAGCAAAAACTTTGCTAACAAATCAAAAGTTAAATTAACAAAATATTATAAATCATTAAACTCAGAATTAATAATATTATCGTACTTCATTGAGAGGTTCTCCCCTACCCCTAGCTTAGCCTTCTAGTCAGACATGACGAACTAAAATCAAAAAAAAAAAAAAATGGGAAAAGAATAATAATTTAAATCCTAATCCTAATCATCTCTCTCAATAGGTGAGAGCCTTTATTTATAATAAAATAAATCATAAATATAGGTTGGAAGGAATAAGGTTGGCTTGGAAGGAATTTCTTTCCAAAAAAGAAGTTTTGTAAGCTTAAATCTCGTGCATAAAATCTTTGAGGCGCGGGTACAAAATCTATCCAGATTTTAAGCTTAAATTTTGCATATTTAGAGGTTGAATCACGAAAATTTCGTGAAATACACTTTTGTATCCCTTGAAATCTTCTTTTCAACCTCCAAAAATCAAGTAAATCAGATATCAAAGTCAAAATTTATGACCAAAATACTAAAGACGTGTCCAATCTTTATCTTCTATGATACTTTCCTAATCCAACTCTAAATGAGTTTTCTTCCAAATTGGACCCTTATAAGAATTTAATTGATTTCATATCTTCAAGTTTTTCTATTTCAATCTTGGCTTTTCAATTCTTATAAATTGTGATTCTTCCTCTAGTGATTGATTCATTTGTCGTATTCATTATTACTTTAAATCAATTAATTTACCTACAAAATAAACCAAATAAATAGAAAAAGTATCAAACTAGAAAATCAAGGAATTTAACACATTTAATCATAAATAATATGCAATTAACCAATTATTAAATAAAATAAAATAGCAATTTTGATGGTTAATTAGTTAACATTACCATTTTTTTAGGTTAGAATACAACTTCCTTGAACTTAGATTACAACTTTTTTGGATGTAAGAATACAACTTTTTGGGTGTAACATTATCACTTTTTTTTTATAAGAATACCACTTTTTTGTAAGATTACCAATTATTTGAGGCAACATTATACTTTTTAAGGGAAGATTACCATTTTTAGGGAAGATTACCACTTTCGAAGAAAAGATTACCACTTTTTTTATTAATATTACCATTTTTTTTGGGTTAGAATGCAACTTCCTTGGGCTAATAATACAATTTTTTTGGGTGTAAGATTACAACTTTTTAGGTGAAACATTATCACTTTTATTTGGTAAGAATACCACTTTTTTTGTAAGATTACCCATTATTTGAGGCAAGATTATACTTTTTTAGGGAAGATTACCATTTTGAGGGAAAAATTACCACTTTTTTGGTTGACGTTATAATTTTTTTTGGTTAGAATACAACTTGCTTGGGGTTAGAATACAATTTTTTTTGGTGTAAGAATACAACTTTTTGGATGAAACATTATCACTTTTATTTGGTAATAATACCACTTTTTGGTAAGATTTTCCATTATTTGAGGCAAGATTATACTTTTTGAGGAAAGATTACCATTTTGAGGGAATGATTACCACTTTTGAAGGAAATATTACAACTTTTTTGGTTGACATTACCATATTTTTGGGTTAGAATACAACTTGCTTGCGCTTAGGATACAAAATTTTTGAGTGTAACATTATCACTTTTATTTGATAAGAATACCACATTTTTTGTAAGATTACCCATTATTTGAGGCAAGATTATCACTTTTTTGGATAATATTATCATTTTCTATGGATGATTACCACTTTTGAGGAAAGGTTACTACTTTTTTGGTTAACATTACCATTTTTTTTGGTTAGAATACAACTTGCTTGAGGTTAGAATACAAATTTTTTTGGTGTAAAAAATACAACTTTTTGGGTGTGACATTATCACTTGTTATTTTGTAAGAATACCACTTTTTTGGTAAGATTACCAATTATTTGAAGCAAGATTATCACTTTTTTGGTAAACAACATCATTTTTTGGATTAGAATACAACTTGCTTTGACTTAGAATAAAACTTTTTTGGGTGTAAGAGTACAATTTTTTGGGTGTAACATTATCACCTTTATTTTGTAAAAATACCACCCTTTTGAATAAGGTTACCTTTATTTGAGGCAAGATTATCATTTTTTAGAGTAAGATTACCATTTTTTAGGGAAGATTATCACTTTTGAGGGAAAGATTGCCACTTTTTTTGTTAATATTACCATTTTTTGAGTTAGAATACAACTTGCTTAGGTTTAGAATACAACTTTTTTGGGTGTAAATTTTTGGTGTACTCTTAGAGGTAAAATTACGATAACAATTTATAATCTTACTACTAAATTACCACAACCATGCTCATCACAACCATTACCAAGCTCATTTTATATATAAAGAACAAAGATATTTTAGATTTTTGACAAAAACATATCATATTGCATTAATGTGTTTCATCACTTTCACTACTGCTAGTTCAACTATTGTATCTACAACCAACAACTACAATTACATATAATTGTCACTTTCTAGCTATTTCTTTGCTTTTCATTAAAAAAAAAAGACTCAATTCTATCCAACCTACTGTCGATCACCTTCAGAGATTCCTTTATTTCATCTTGAGTATTTTGAAATTGCTCAAACTTTCTGCCCATTTGTATAAGCAAATGTCCAGATATAGTTAATGGAGGAAAACCACCTGTGGAAGAATTTGGGACATCCTGGGCTTTAACTTCATCCTCAGCTTCAACTTCATTCTCAATTTCAACTTGTGGCTGCTGAGTTTTCTTCTTCTTCCCTTGCCCCAAACTCTTTTTTATTGTCCCACCATAAATCGGATTCATGGGAGTGGAATTAGCGTCGCTTGAGTGAATCACAACTCCATAATCCTCCATAATCTTTGAAATCAAAATTGGGATTGGGAGACATCGCCGCTTATCCTTCATACCTCGTACCGAAATAATTTCATTAACTATTAAACAAGGTAGATCTATATATATACCCTTTCCAATGGCATACAAAAGATGAGCTTGATCAAGTCCAAAATCAGTGGTATGTCCTCTTGGACTAATATTGCACCACACTATAAGGTTTAACATCTTATATTTGGGAGTAAGGTCTTGTTGAAAAAAATACAAGATTGTCAATACTCTCACTAAAATTATTAGGTATACCCTCAATTTCTGCATAAACATCTTTCAACTTAGGTATGTCCTTAGAATTCTTGAATGGATAGATAAGTGTATCGTTAGGAACGAAGGGTTAGCGAACTCCTAATATTTTTGAAACTAAATCTGGGGTTACTTGAATACTTACATTCTTTACAAGTGACTTAAACTTGTGATCACATTTATCAATATCATGCATGTTAGAATAAAATATCTTCACCAATGTATTATATGTTTTATCCATCTTCTTGATATCAACTACAGAATTCTATTGATGAAGAGCACAAATAACATCACATCCTACATCTTTTAATTGATCCAGTAAAACACCTATCTCCAATAACAAAGGTCTATAATAAAAGCAGTTATCATATCAATGTTTGCAATTTTTGTTGAAGAAAGATATGTCTTCATTGCATATGAGGTTGGATGAACTTGTTGGATTGGGTATAGGGTTGGATGAAGTTGATGTATTGAAGGAGGGGTCAACTGGATTAGAGGAGCTAAGAATAACTAGATTGGTGGATCTAGGATCAACTTTGGAGTACGGATCAATGGAGGGAGGATAATTACAGTTCTTCTTCCTCTTCATTTTTTCCCTACTGTTATCCACAAATGGCAATGAACTTGCTACAGAGGGATCAACAGGATTGGAGGAGGGATCAATGAAGGGAGGATGATTACAGCTGTTCTTCCTCTTCATTTTTTCCCTATTGTTATCCGCAACTTTTGGCCAGTATTTTTTTCTGCCTTCGGTCATTATACTCTTATCTGGTCTTTCTGTAACAAGAAAAAAATCTAGTCAAAAAAGAGAGTAATTACATGACAAATTATCTATTACTTTTGAGCAATAATAACAATTGATGGAGATGTGAGGGAAATAGGATTGCCTTATTTTTGAACCATCATTCACAAAAATCATCAATCACAAAAACCATCATTCGTTCAACCCAAAAACACATCCCTTATGCAACTATGTATACAAAAATATGATGAAATTGAGAGAGAGAGAGAGAGAGAGAGAAAGAGAGACAACTATGTATACAAAAATATGATGAAAGAGAGAGAGAGAGAGAAAAAAAAATGGATACTTCAGAGAAGAGGAAGACGGTGGTAGTGGCGATGGTTGCTCTAGTCGTGGTTGTGGTTGTGGCTCCAGTGGTGGCAGTGGCGATGGTTGCTTTGGCCATGGCAATTAGGTTCGATTTGGGTTCGATTTGGTTGCTGATTTGGGGTTCGATTTGGCAATGGTTGCTGATTTAGGGTTTTGGGTATGAAAATTCAGATTGGGTGAAATCGATTTGGGGTTCTAGGTTTTGGGTATGGAATTTTGGAGTTGAGGAGTTCAATTTTTGGGGGAATAGAAAAAAGAAAGTTGATCGCTATATTGAGCGATCTAACCTAGATCGCTATAGATGGGAATGTAGCGATCGCTATCGATCTGTGTAGCGAACTAATTTGAATCACTCAACCAGTGATCAAGTTGAGATCATATCAATCAAAAATTATACTTATACCCCTAAATTATCACCAGTTTTTTAAAATTTCCCTCATATTACACCCTTAACTATGTAATTAGTTTCATATTATCCCAAATTTTTTTACCTAATTTAATTTAACACCAAAAGGTGTTTAAATTAACACCCAAATATGATAACTTTGTTATAATTTATTTTGTGGTGAAAAACTTTGTTGTTATAATTTTAACTTAACCCAAAATATAACCCTAAAAATGGCAATTTTACCCAAAAAATTGTTGATAAACTATAACATTTTAATTCCCAAAAATGTTTGGTATACTTTAATTGTAATTTAGCCTAATGGTGAACTTTGATAACCCAATCCTAACCTCCTAATATTTTTAACTTAATCTAAAATGGTAAATTTAATGTCACTCAATAACCCTAAATATTATAAATTTTTCATTATATTTTTATTTCAAGTATGACAAATAACTATAATTTTTTGAAACTAATTTTAATTTCTATTATCACTTAAAATAGTGGTAAACTTGCATTGATAACCTAATCCTAATCTCCTGATAGTTTTAACTTAATCTAAAATGGTAAATTTAATGTCAGTCAATAATCCCAAATATTGGAAATTTTTCCTTATATTTTTATTTAGCTTTAAATAAGATAAATAATTATCAATTTTTAAAGTGTGTAGCAGTTTCGCTTATTTTTAAAATATATACCGGTGAAACCGGGTTTCGAAGCATACAGGTGGTGACCATTCAGTCATTTTACTTTTTCGGTATTGTACCGATTTTTATCTTTTCAGTATTGAAGCCAACTCCCCCTTTTCAAAATCAAACTCAATCTTTGTGGGATGGGTTGAGGAATGCCACAACACTTTTTAAATGGCGTTCTAATAGGTTCTTTTAACGTATTTTCTTTTTCACTGTAGCATAGTCCTTCATTGGGCATTCGTCCCTTCGCCTATAGACTCAGTTGACCCCTTAAATTCATAATCTAAGGCTTAATGAATATTACTAATCACTTTCAATGTCAAAATCAAATTTCAAGAACAAACATTCGATGGCCCATCACCCCATTTTAATTTATGAGTGGCGATTCTAAAACTCTGATTAAGCCTATCAATTATGTTGAGTGAGACAAATTTATGTTAGAACTTAACGAATTTGTGTCAAAAAATACTCTACTCATATCCGATTCATTTATTAATTCGTATTTAACAGGTCGTGTTATATCGGGTTCATGTCGTGTATGAATATGTATAATCGGTATATAAACGAAGCATGTTGTATATTTCTTTTAATTATCTTCACTCATACCCAATTCATTTTTTAATCGTGTTGTATTATGTCAGATTCACTCGTTTACGAAACAGGTGTTTTAAAGAAGACTCAAACCCTTTAATTTCGTATCATGTTCATGTCATGTTAATGAGTTGTCTCATATTTTGACACCTCTAACTCCAATTATCTGCCCTATTACTGCGTATTTTTTTTTCTTTCTTTTTTTCTATTAGTGGACAGGTTCGACCAGAAATGTTATGCTTACACACAAGACTACCCCTCTTCCCGAAAACTTCGCGGGGACTACTTTACGAAGACGGACAACCGCCCGTAGGGGATTTATTGCACAAGGCCCCTGCAGAGGGAAAGCAACTGTCCATGGACTATGACTGGAGCCCCAATGGGGGGCCAACTTTGCCATAGAAAAGAGATTTAGAAAGTTACAAGGAGTGATCAGCCTGAAAACAAATACACTTTCCAAGGACAGTATCTTATTAGTTTCAAAATAAAGATTGTATCGTCAGAAAAAGGGAGAATTATGCTCAGACTCCTTGAGATTTGTCACTAAATCACTCAGATCCCCTGATATTTGAAAAATTATACACAAATCCTCCGAAGTTTGTACACGCGTTACACTTAGACCCCATTGTAAATATATCAGTTAATAAATTATACTTAGACCCCCTGAAATTTGTAGGTATATAATATTTAGATCCTTTAAGTTTAAAATATTACACTTAGACAAAAAATACTCCAATCAGCAATAAAATATCAAATATTTTAAATTTTACAACCAAAATTCATGTTATATTATATCATTTATTGAAATAAATTAAAAATAAAAATTGTAATTTTTTCTTAAAAAATCATAATTAGTATACAATTATACTATCTATTGGAATAAAACTAAAAAATCAAACAATTGGTGATGTGGGATGTGGGTCTAAGTCATTCATAATAAAACATGAATTTTACATCTAAAATTCATGTGCTATTATGTCATTTATTGAAATAAAATAAAAAATAAAAAATAAAAAATCTAGTTTTTTTTTAAAAAAATCATAGTATATAATTATACTATCTATTAGAATAAAATTAAAAAATTAAACAATTAATTAAACTGTAATTGACACAATATCTTTTAACTTTAATTAGGGTAGTTTGGTATTTTAATTTGGTCGTTTAATTGACCAAATTAAATTTCAATAAATAATATAACTATATACTAATTACATTTTTTTAAGAAAAAAATTAAATTGTTATTTTTGATTTTATTTCAACAAATGATACAATAGAATATGAATTTTAATTATAAAATTTAAAATATTTGATATTTTATCTTTGATTGAAGTATTTTTTGTCTAAGTATAATATTTTAAACTTAAGGGGTCTAAGTAATATATGTTTACAAATTTCAGAGATTCTGGGTGTAATTTATTAACAAATATATTTATAATAAGAGTCTAAGTGTTACGCGTGTATAAACTTTAGGGAGACTGTGTATAATATTTTAAATGTCATGGGGTTTGAGTGATTAAGTGACAAATCTCAAGAATTCTGAGTGTAATTCTCCCCCTTTTTTTTTTGGATGAATTGGTTAAATGGATTCATGGATTAGTCAATCACATAAAAAAAAAGTAGCAGTGTAGTATATATTTTAACAGTTGCTTTGAATGATAATTTTTTATGTATATATCTATATAATAAAGTATAATACAATTTAAATCTCAAAAGATAAACAAAATAATTTTTATTTTTTGTGGTTGAGATCTCTGTAAATTTTCTTTTAAAGTTAATCCGATAACTAATATTAACACCTCAAATTTAATAGGGAAAATAAGCCCACAATGGTGTATTTTGAGTGACTTTTTATAAGTATTTTTAAAACTTATAACTTCTTATGAGTACTTTAAAAAAATAAGTAATACTTGGAACCGCCCACCCACCATCACCACTATCACAACCATTGCCACCCCCCCCCCCCACCACAACTACCCTCACCACTATCACCATCATTGCCCCACCATCATCATCACCACTATTACAACCACCATTGCCATCACCACCCCACCACCACCACTATTGTCGTCGCTGTCTCCCATCACCACCACTACCGCCCATTACCACTACCATAGCTCACCCCTACTACAACTGATTTTTAAATTATTTTCTCTCTATTCTATGTTTGTGATTTGATTTTGAGTGTGAATGTAAATATGTTTATTATTGACCATTTTTTTATTACTTCGTGTCTTCAAACACAGACAATAAGTAGTTTATATAATAAAGTAAAATACAATTCAAATCTCAAAAGTTAAACAAAATAACTTTTTCTTTTTGCGGTTGAGATCTCTTTAAATTTTATTTTAAAGTTAATCTGACAGCTAATATTAATACCCCAAATTTAATAGAAAAAATAAGTCTCTAAGTGTGTGTTTGGAGTGACTTTATAAAAATACTTTTAAGACTTATAAATTTTCATGAGTACCTTAAAAAAAAGTACTATTTGGAATCACACTACCACCACCACCCCATCGCCCCACTACCATCACCACTACCACCACCACCAACGCCAACCCACCCCCCACCCCCATCACCATCACCAATACCAATACCACCACCACCATCGCCGCTACCCCACCACCACCTCTGCCACAATAACCACCATACCACCACAATACAATTCAAATCTCAAAATATAAACAAAATGATTTTTTTTTTCACAGTTGAGATCTCTTTAAATTTTACTTTAAAGTTAATCTGACGGCTAATATTAACACTCCAAATTTAATAAGGAAAATAAACCCCTAAGGATGTGTTTGGAGTGACTTTATAAAAGTGTTTTTAGAACTTATAACTTTTCTTGAGTACCTTAAAAGAAAGTATTGTTTGGAATCACCCCTCCACCACCACTGCCATCACCCCCGCCCCCATCGGCCCACTACCATCACCACCGCCACCCCCACCCCCACCACCACCACCATCGTCGCCAACCCATCACCACCTTTGCCACAACAATCACCATACCACCACCACTGTCACCACCCTACACCCATCACCCCACCACCGCTGTCACCCCATTACTACCTCTGCCACCCCATCACTATCTTTGCCACAAAAACTACCATCTCCCCACCACTACTACTATCGCCACCACCACTGTAGCCACCCATCATCCCCACTACCAATACCACTATTGCCGCCACCGTGCCTCCACCGTCACTATCCCACCATCACTCCTACCACCCCACCCCCACCCCTACTGCCCCTCCATTACCAACACCCCACCATCATCGTCGCCAGCCATACCACCACAACCACTACCCCACCACCACCATCGCCACACACCATCGTCGTCACCCACCACCATCGTCATCTATTTCTTTTATTTATTACCACTACTACCATCATCTCATTACCACCATCGCTCACTGTCAGCATCCACCACCACCCGTCGTCGTCCACCATCGCCACCAACCACTGTCACCCACCCCACCACACCTACCACCACTAACCACCATCATTCGTCATTGTACACCACTACTGCCACCCACTTTCACCCACCCCCACCATACCTACCACCACCACTCATCACACTATCATCTAGAAGCACTTGTCATTGCTCACCACCACCATTATCGCCGCACTATAACCATCGTCCACACCCACCACCACTACCGCCATTACCCATGACTGTCATTACTACCATTGTCACCCAAAACCCACCACCACCATCATTGTTGCCACCCATAGTTACCACAATCACCGCGATCGTCGTCACCCACCACAACCGTCACCGTCTCCCACCAACTCCATTGTCGCCCATCACCATTATCACCGATCATCCTCAGTATAACTAGTGTTTAAATTCATTTTTCTATCGTCTATATTTGTGATTTAATTTTGGGTCTGAATACAAATATATTTATTATTGACCCTTTTTTTATTATTTCGTGCCTTCAAACAAAAGCAATAACTAGTTTTCCTATATCTAAGCTCAATTATTTGTATATTTCATAATTTATGAGTGCATTACATGATCATTTTGTTACATTCTTGATTGATTAAGAGCATAATTTAAAAATTTTAATTGATATAAATTGGAAATATAAAGATATTTTAGGGTACAAAGTGTCATTAACAATAATAATTAGGGCAACTTATTCTTTGTACCTTGAAAATTTAAAAAAAAATTATTTTGAACCTTTAAAAATTAATTTTTTTATATTAGACCCTCAATATATTTAAATTAATACAATGTGGCCTTGTCGTTAACATCCATTTCGTTAATGTCAATGATGTAATTTCTTACACAATGAACAACAAAAGCTAGAGCAACAGATTTACATTGTAACATTTTGGGGGTATAAAGTGTAATTTCCCCACTCTTCACAGTACGGGCTCACTTTTTTAAGTCCTTCTCTTCCTACTTTCTATCAGGACCTTGAGATCCGCCGCAGAAAGCTCTTCAGATCCGAATTGCAAAAATGGGCGGTAAAATCCACTAGCCTCGAATTTAGGGTTTATTGATTTCATCAATTTCTTGCTAAAATCACACTAATTTATATTGTACAGGTGGTGAAGTAGCTTCTTCAAGTTCTAGTCTATGGTTAGCTGAAAATCCAAGCAAGAGATGGGGCGAATTGTTCTTCCTTCTCTACACACCCTTTTGGCTCACACTCTGCCTCGGCATTGTCGTTCCGTACAAGCTGTACGAGGTCTGCTAATATCCTTATATATATTCAATCTGTGTGTCTGGGCTGTGTTTGTGTGATTGCTAACTAATGGAACTGAGCTGTGTGGAAGTGGGTTTAGTGAGGATTGACTTTTTAATGTAATTTGGACAAGGAATATGATCTTTAAAATCTTAACAGTTTGTGTCTGTGTTAATCATTGAATTGGAATTTCAATTTGATGTACTTTAATGCAGACTAAACTTCTATTTGGTATATTATTATAGTTATTGTGAAATTCTTTTGAAAGAACTGGTGTGGACATTGGAGGTTTTGGAGGGGATTCGAGACAAATTATAGTTTTTTGGACTAGTATTTTTGGTTAGTTCTGAAAGCGAGTGAAAACTCCGATTTTCTTTTACTCCCATTTGGTTGTTTGATGATTGATTCTTTGTCTACTTTTGATGCTGTTCTTAATCAACAAAGAATGATGGGGATATAGGAGTGAACAAGTGACTTAGTGGATCTGCGACTATACTCTTGGGTGTGTGTTTCTTAATTGGGATTACTGGGAATTACTTTGACAGCTACAAGAATTGTGAAAATGTGTTGTCTTTTGTTAAAAATATTTCCTTCGCGTAGTCACATATAGGTGTTGTATGTTGAACAACAGACGCTCTCTTCTTATTAAAACATACGTGCAATGTAATGTGTGAGATTTTGTTGTATATTCACAGAATTCACATGGACAAAACCTTTATACATATGCATTCCCACACTTGCATGTCAATGCAGAGCATATGAATATAATTGCAAATAACAATTTCTGTTGGCAGAGCTTTACTGAATTGGAGTACTTGCTTTTGGGGCTTATTTCAGCGCTTCCTGCTTTCTTGATCCCAATGTTAGCCATTGCAAAGGTGAACTTCTGGATCCTTTTAACCATTTGAGGTTTCAATGTAGCCACTTACCATTGGGTTCCTTTGGGAATTTGGATTGCCTGTATTTAGAAGTTTGCAATAATTTTAGATTGACTATTTCTTTTTAAACTAGCTAGTTGTCACAATTCATTCTGTAGTTATTTTGTACTTCTGCATTCTTGGAGCTATTTGTTTCTTTAATTTGGAATTTACGTGGGTCAGAATAAGAGACACAGATAGAAGTTGAGATACTCATATAATGCAAGTATAACTTGGTATTTAAAATTGGCAAATTAGATGTTGATGAATATTTCAGCAGTGGGACTGCCTGAGAGGATACATGATTTTGGCAGCCTACCCCTTCCGTCCCTTCCTTTTATATTGTGGATGTACTCACACTTTTAAGCTTTCTCGTTATTTTTGCAGGCTGATAGCAGCATTCATTGGAAGGATCGTTACTGGGTAAAGGCAAGTGTTCTTGTGGATATTATCTAAATTTATAGGCTGTAAGTTTATAGGGCTATTCCAGCCATAGCGATGCAAAAGCTGGTCCATTTTTTTGATACTTTAACTGTGTTTTTATAATGAATGCTGATGTGGGATGTGTGAGTTACACAAAGATTCGGATATAAAAATGGTAATTATGTTGGCAACAGTGTGTAGTTATTGGCTGGACTTTAGCCTTCTCTTGTGCCAAAGAAACCTCTTCATGCAGGATGTGTGAGTTCCACAAAGATTTGGATATAAAAATGGTAATTATGTTGGCAAACAGTGTCTAGTTATTGGCTGGACTTTAGCCTTCTCTTGTGCCAAAGAAACCTCCTCATGCAGGATCTCTGGCCTCAGTTTTTTACCTTGATGTTTTGTCAGTTAAGGTTGATTCTTACATGTTAGAGTTCTGCCCATTGTGGAAAATTAGTCCTTGAGAAAGGAGCACACATCCCAAGTAATTACTAGTGAAGTTCATCCTCTCATGTCAATGAGAGACTGACAGTTTCTTCTTCGAATGGAAGCTAGAAGCACTTATATTCCCATAACAACTATGGTCCATTGAGGTTCTCATCCTTATGGTGGTCAAATTGTGTTTTCACTGGACGGTCTCCATAGTTATCACCCAATATCTAATGGTGTTCAAATTTCCTGAGGTTCACTTGGTCATTGGTTTGAGCCCAAATGGAATACTAATAGGGCACTTTGTGGGCCTTCTGTCAGATCACAGCTTGACGATGCCTGGCCCATTCATTGGTTGGCCATACACCCATCTAATTGGTCCTTATTCCAGCCATTTTTATAGGTCAGCGTTTGCACACTTCTAGTTATATAGCATGCTGAAGTTCTGATCTCTTAACTTACCCATGGATGATGCCACTTAGACCAACTATTTCTGGACTGTCTGATTGGCTAATCTGGGCAATCACAGCTGTTGAAAATGGTGCCAATACTGCTTTTACGACTTTGTCTTTTATGTGTCAAATCCTTTGACTACAAATTTCTTGTTCTTGCAGGCCAGTCTGTGGATAATAATTTTCAGCTATGTTGGAAATTACTTTTGGACCCATTATTTCTTCACAGTTTTGGGAGCTTCATATACCTTTCCATCATGGAAGATGAATAACGTAAGCTACAACAAGATGATTATTACACAGATTGCCAATGGTGCGTCTGATTGTCTTTTTTCTTTTTCAGAATCCCCCCTAAACATTTATTTCTTTGTGTAGGTGCCACACACAACATTCCTTCTTACACACGTGTGCTTCTTGTTTTACCATGTGACATCAAACATGACACTTCGTAGACTACAACATTCTGTTGCTGACTTGCCAGACACATTGCAGTGGGCTTTTAAGGCTGCATGGATTTTAGCTCTTTCTTATTTCATAGCATACTTGGAGACCTTGGCTATCGCCAATGTATGTGGTAAATGGTTTTGTTTTTGCTATTTGTATTTACTATTATCATGATTGTTGTTAGTGTTGTTATTTCACTATAATTATAATTTTTTTTGTACATTCTAACTTCACAGCGATGAACGAAAATGAGTACAAAAGTTCATGTACATGGATAATACTGCTCCCAAAATTATATTAAATTGATTACACACAAAAATCCTCTTTAGGGCTCTGTTTATCTTAAAGATTTCAACCCACCCCCCAAAAAAATGTCCAATCGTCTAGAAAAGTAGAAATGCCCAGTTTGCATTAGAATTCTTTTTTCCAAAAACGTTTTTAGTGGAAATCCCAGTTAGTTGCACCCTCATCTTCATTAATGGCCTAAACACAAGACCCAACTCTTTTTACACTGAATGGTATCAGCCAATGTCAATTCTCTTTTTCTTGTCAAGGTGCTTTACATGTAAAGCTCTGTGTTGATTGTTATCCTTTCGTGATGTCCTAGTTTAAAAGCCTGTATCTGCCATCTATTGTTTACCATGAATTATGGTTTCAGCTCTTGAACAACTACTTGCTGCTTTTTTTTTCTGTGCATCACTAGGCTGCATTCACTTCTACAATACTTGGCATGGATATCCTTTGTTGTACCTATAATTTTTTTCACACATCATTGGTGTTGTTATAATAAGACCTATTCCACAACTCAGATTCATCCTAAAAACATTTTATACATTAGATGATTGAAGAACATGCAGTGACTGACCCAATCACACTGATTTCTTTAGCATGATGAATCCAAATCATGTGATAAGTGGATAATTCATCAACAAAGGTCCTTTCCATTATTTGGGAAAGAATGTTGTTTGGATAACATGAATCTTTTACCTAAACTCCCAAGATATGTGCGAATTTGGATCTTTTACCTCTCACCAGTCACATTGACCATAAAAGTGGTGACATTTTCCTCTGATTGTTGGACCTGTAAATTATGATATGCTCACCTTACATGTAACCTGATGTATGTGTATATTGATTGACTCCTCAAGTCAAGACTTAGAAGGTTGGCATGAATTGACACAACCTTCCTATCTATGCTCACTAGACTGTGCTCCTTCTGTCTATTGGTCTTGCTTTGTGTGAAGCGAGACGAGATGGTGAGTGAAAGTGAATTGGTTAATGAGGAAGATACCTCGCTAGTTTTGAACCAGATGAGGTAAGTGAAATAGCAAAATCGGAAGTAGCAGCTCCAGCATCCTTGGATTTTGCACCTTCTAACATCTCGAGTTGAAAATTGTCGTCACGCTTTTCATTCACGATTTTATGTTATAGATTCTTCATCAGCATTCCTTTTCTCTTTGTTGTCGCACTTGGAATGCAATGCATTCTTTTCGATGTTGTATTAAGGTACACTAAACACCAACCCAATCTTGATGAAAAAAAAGAAGAGAATATTGCACCTACAACAACCTCCGTGAACAGACGCATGGTTAGTTAATTCAAGTATTGTAACTATTCTAAAAAATAGTCCAGAATAAAGTCTGTCACTCAAAAATTTTGATTCTATAATCATTGAAAAGGAAGTGTTATTTCCCACCAAACTGCAGATAAGCATATCCCAAGTTTACAGCCAAACAGACCGAAGCTGGAACTAGGTTGCTTAGTAACTTGTGTCACATTTTGGGATTATTTCTATATCCACTCAGGTTAGCCTTATACTGATTCATAGATTTCTGGACAATGTAATTTCCATGGGATTCCCATTTGTCATTCTCCCTTTTTTGATAGAGCCCTTATCTCCTATACTTCAGATGACTGAAGTTTTTGTGGTGTATCGTAAGAATCTAATTGCACAAAAACTGAAAGATAATGATAGCCTATTGACCAAAAGTTGGTAAATGGTGATAGATTAGCAAACTAGGTGATGTAGGACAACAATATAAAATCAAAATAGGGGCTGTTTAGGAGCTGTGAACAGTACCCTTGAACAGTAAAATAGTCTGTGAATAGTAAAACAGGCTGGAAATCACTCCTAGGGTTCTTTAGGCATCACACCTAGGGTTAAAATTGCATCACACAAGAAGAAGCATGTAATTGCTGAAATTTTTGAAATATGTCTATCTATTTTTTATTAAAAGTAATACAAACTATATATAGAATTTTAAGTACTCCTAATCCCAAAATATTAGAATTCCAAAGTCTCTAGGACTCCAAAAATTCTAGGTCCCTAAAAATTAGAAAATTAAAATTAACTAGAATTAGAACTTAAATTCTAGAATATTTAACACTAGAATTTGACCCAAAAATATGACTCATTCCAAAAATTCTAAAAATTACCAAAAATACCCTTGACCCTAAAAATATAAAAAAGACACATAAATTACTAAATTCTAGCAAACAAACTTAAAGGTAATTAAAAATATGACTCAAATAAAGCTATGCAAGGTTCCATATAAGTCTTTGTATGTCAAGTCAAATTTCACATTTCTTCATGTGTTTGAATTTGTCTCTTCTTGAGCATCTTATGGATTGCATCACTAGGAGTACGAGAGAGAGAGAGAGAGAGTAACTAGAGATGAAGTTAGGTGCAGAACATTGAAGCAAACTTCCTTATGAATTGTAACTAGGAGTAGAATCTTAAAATGGAAAAAAATGGTAAAAGCTGAGATGAAATGCAGATTATTACCCAATTGAGTAGGATCAAACTTTCACAGGTATGATTAGGTGTAGTGGTCTTGTGTTGTATGTTGAATTAAATAGACATGCAACTCCCTCCAGCTTACTGCATCTTCACTAGCCTCTCTTTTTTCCATCGACTTCTCTTCCACTTTAGCAGGCTGGGGCGCCATCTCAAACTGAGAATGGATCATCTGATCCCTCTACTTTATAAAGGGAAGATAAGCAGTGGATGGAAGCAAACAGACATCCATCAAAACATAGTACATACTGCTCTGCATTTAATGCAACTGAACTCAAAAAGTCTTGTCCCAACTGTTTCGGGTCTGGTACATGAATGATGTTCTGCCATTGTTTTTTGTTTATGCCATGTTAAACCTTTCCAAAATTTGGTTAACAATGCAAACTGACATACATGAATAAGGAGCTTACAGCAGTGATTTTTTTCTGAACGTGTGCAGTTCCCCTATTATGAGTTTGTGGACCGGGCATCCATGTACACAGTTGGCTCGTTGTTTTATGCGATTTATTTTTTAGTTAGCTTCCCAATGTTTTTGAGGTAAGAACTTGACTCGATGGTTTTTTTTTTTCCCCTGATCTTACATTTGTTTTGAAAACTTTAGTTCCCTTATGCATAAATGGATAAATAATTTATGAAGATGAAGAAATGCATCTAAGCAGACAATGCAGAACAATCCGGAAAAAAGTAATTAATGTTTGATACACCAATTATTTGTGATATAAGTATCATCATGAATGTTACAAGTTCATTATAAATAGGAACTAGAAAGTCTTCATCATATCCTGTTGTGCCAATGATATGCCGGCTTTCTTAAAGTGGCTTTCTTCCTTAATATGCATAGGATTGATGAGACACCTGGTGATCCGTGGGATTTGCCAAGAGTGGCCATTGATGCTTTGGGGGCTGCAATGCTTGTCACAATCATACTCGACTTGTGGCGCATTTTTCTGGGTCCCATTGTTCCTATTCCAGATGAAAAACAATGCTTTCAACCTGGACTGCCATGGTTTCCAGGTCATGCCAAAGGAATCTGAATTCGCATATGCAGAACAAGGATACATGCAAAGTTTTTTCGACAGTGGTAGTAACCAAAGTCGGGGTCTCCTGTTGTTGATATTGTAACATTAACTGAACAAAATTAGGTCATTGTTGTATTATGCCTTATTCAGGCTGTATCCTTATGGAAGTATGGGAGGTGAGAAACACAGTTTTCCTCTGTTACCTGTCAACTCTTATGTCGATTTGTGTACTACTATACATGTAAACGGATTCAGGATCCAGCTGATGCCTTGTTCAGAATTTGGGATGGATCTTAACATAAGAATTTACTCGGCATGCTTGCAACCTCCAAACCTAGTTTATGTGACTAGAAAAATCAAGTCGTACACGGTACCCAAAAAAAAATTGGTACTGTACCGGCAATTATTATATTTGTGAGTATTTTTATTATTATTGTGAGTATTTTTATTATTATTGTGAGTGTTTTTATTATTGTTGTGGTACAAAAAAAAATTTAATAAAAATAGTTACTATAACAGTCGAAACAATATTCAAAAAAATGATAAAAACACTCAAAATTGATAAATTCTTTTGTTATAATATTCACAAAAATAATAAATTTTGGAGGTATGGACTGTAGTCAAGTCCCTACTCTTTATCTTGTCCCAAGGAATGATATTGTTAAGTGCATTTATAATAAGGTTGACATTTTACACAAAGACTAATTAAATAGTTTTGCACTAATTTGATATTTTTAACCTTTTAAAATCATATTTTACTTCTTAGGGTTTTAAGTATATAGATAGGACGTATCAAAATAAATAAAAATAAGATCAATCTTAACTGTTGTTATATTTTAATAAATTAATAATTTTGGCTTTCTAGCTAAAATATTAGATATTTGTTAGTATGCAATAAGATTATTTCTACAAAATAATAATCAAACATATTTTTAAACTTATTTTTCCCCCAAGATTAGGGGTGTTTAAATTTTTGCTTACCCGCAATTTTCTACTCTATCCAACCCTATTAATCGGCTAACTAAAAAAATTGGGTAAAAATTTCGAAGAATTTTTGGTCTTCTGATTAAATCGGATAAAAATGCAAAATATCTATCAAATTTTTGTATTCTTACCCTACCATACCCGCATATATATATTTATATATATAAAAGAAAAACCCTAAGTCCATAACATCTCGTCCCCTCCTCATCTCACCTCTCCCTTGCTTATCTCACCTCTCTTACCTCGTATTCTTTATTTCTGAATATACATTTATGATTATAGTATATGATTTCTGATTTGTTTGTTTTAACGTGTTTCATATAATTTTAAACCTAAAATAATTATTATATTTGTGCAACACTTATAATAGAGTGATATTTATGTCTTAAGCTTTCTTGTATTTTATTGTAATTATTAATTTAATTATTTTAAATTTTAATGTTGTTGATTTATTGTGTTATTAAATTAGTACAGATTACCTAACTGAATTGTTTAAATAATTCAAAAATTAATAATTACAAAACATATTCACCCGATTTCTTATCCGACTTCCTATCCCATTTATTTGGACGAAATTCGAGTAAGAATATTACACTTGATCAGATAGGATAGACCAAAAAAATAATCCACAAAATATCAAGTATAAAAATGAAAGACCATATTTCCTACCCGTAAAACAGGTTGAACACCCCTACCCAAGATTATTATCCCGATAACTTGAAGCTATCCTTGGGGACCAAACAAGGAAGCAGGGATTCGGACCAAATAAGGATACAAGAAAAGAATTTTAAGAAGAAAAAAAATATCAAACGTAAGAGACCAAAAAAAGAAATGATAACCATCCAGCATTGCTTATTGTTCGATTCTAATATCACCCACAAAGAATGACTATAAATTATATGCACAGGGTCAGGAATAATTACTCTCTTCTGTTTGCTTAAGAAACTTAAATAGAAACACAGTCCTCTCCAAATTGACAGCAAAGAGAGATGGGGAAACAAAACAAAAGCAGGGTAGCCATGCCACAACTTTGGCGGCTACCCTACCTTCACACCAACCATCTCAGACTAAGGATACAAAGTATAACTTCAAAACCTCTACTTCCTTGTACAAACAAAAGGGCTTCACAGCATTCCAAAGTGAGCTGTAATCCGGGTGGGGCTGAGCTTCATTCGAAGAGCACAGACTTCAGGAAGAAAAAGAACTATTTGTACAGATGAGAAGTCTTTACATGAAGTAGCTGAGGGCCTTCTTCCTCCTAGAGCCACCCTCGCCATACAGTTCATTCCACTGTAGAAGTTCGGTCATGTTCACAGACTCGGACGAAACACTTGCACAAACCTATTAGCACAAGACAAGAATTGAAATTTGAAAAAATAATTCTATCTATTTGCCAAATATGAAGGAATAAATAATTATTCTGTATGTTTTCCTACTCTTACCCGTTCATGCGCATTTTTGAAGTCATCCATGTTTAGAGGGCGGATATCAGAACTCCCACTCAAAGCTGGAGGAGGTTTGCCTTCTGCAACAGCTGCGGCGTGCTCCTGTCATCAGTTCAAAAGATTAGAACTTAAAACTGGTTTTTCAAGGGCAGCAATCAAGCTCTGCTACATACACAACAGATTCCTATGTTCTAGGGAACAATTGTGCTTATGAACGAAGCATGCCTTCTAGGGTAGTGCTTACACTGTCCTGGTCATTGATATTCTAATTGGCCAACACATTGTAACTATGTGACTTATTATTGTGCTGTGTTCAAGGGCATGTCCTTGTAATGTTTCTTTTTTTTTTTACCTAAGATTTTATAATGATTGATGTATCAGCAATGTCAAGGTTCCATAATTGTAAAATGTTTTTGCCATTATCATAGATGTATATTCCCACTACCTCATGCTGTCTTTTATCCATATCTCCAGTTGCATGGTATCTACCATATCAGCCGTCAATGCTCAGTGACATGATGCATAGAACAAATAATGGTTCTGACTCAATTGATGATTTCTCTCTAAATTGATCTCTATTAACCAGTCGTACTTTTTACCAGTGGAGAAACTTAGTTGATCCTTTTTCCCTTCTCTTTTTTTATACTTTTTTCGTGCATGTGATTCACCAGACAGACGACCTCAATCCACATAGAACCTTCCAGGAAAGAACATAGACTATGATAAGATGATCGATGAAAACACCTAGCAAACAAGAGGGTTTTTTTAGATTGTCCGATTGTCCGACTCCTGAAGAAACATTAAACAAAGCACATCCAAAGGCTAAAATTTTGAAAATCAGCCCCTAGACCTTGTTTGTGCCCATGGTCAAAGAATGCCAGATTGGTTAGGATAGTGAAGAACTCATAATAGAAGGGTTACGCTATTGTAATCAGATATGACTGCCAAAAAGCTACCAGTCAGCCAGGCATTTACTTTGTCCAAACAAATATATGCCTCTTGAACAATGTATTATTGACAATCATAATCCACATTTTAAAGATGATTGTTTGCTGATGCAATGCTTGTTTTCCTCTATAATTGATGACATAATTTTCTTTCCAATTCGATTAGCTCATTTATCAAACAAAGAAAACATACCTTTTTTTCCTTCTCCAAGATCTCTCTAATTGGCCGATGTGCAGCAGTTACACACAGATTCTGCCACATAGAAAAGTAACACATAAGAAGGCAAAATCCTAACAAAGATTTTCATTTTACACCCAATCCCCTGAGAAAAAGGCACAACCTTAAGGTCACTTCCAGAATATCCATCAGTCATGCTTGCAATGGAATCCAGATCAACATCAGGAGACAAGTCCTCTTTTGATAGTATCACTCTTAGGATCTTTGATCTGTTAGGAGCATCTGGCAAATTGACCATCAATCTGCAGAAGAACAGAGTTTACGGAAGCATTAGCAGCAGAAATACTCAAAACCACAAGGAAATGGACCAATAAAGATCTATTTCGAAAAATTTACCTACGCGGCAGCCTTCTTATAACAGCCTCATCAAGGTCAAAAGGCCTGTTTGTGGCTGCAAGTACCAGAACCCTTTCTGTATCTTTTGTTCGCAAGCCATCCCAGTTCACCATAAACTCATTTTTCATCTTGCGCATGGCCTCATGTTCTCCTGGATTTTCCCTCCGCCCCAACATGCTATCAACCTTTGAAGGAAATACAAGAAAAGGATCAGTAACTACAACTCAAAGATCAAAGTAATTCAAGATAATAGCTGTATATAAGATGCGTACTTCATCGACAAATACAACACTAGGAGCAATTTTGCTAGCTAGTGAGAACACAGCCTTTACATACTTCTCACCCTCGCCAAACCACTGCAGTGAAAAACATGGGTCAAATTGAATCAAAAATTGAAAGAGAAATTAGTGCATGCATCTTATTACAGTCACAGAAACTCCACAACAAAGCTAACCTTAGATGTAATGCTCGACATAGATATATTGATGAAGTTTGCACCAGCTTCAGTGGCCACAGCCTTTGCAAGCATCGTCTTTCCTGTTCCAGGAGGGCCAAATAAAAGTATACCTTTGCAAGGCTGAAAATGGAAGAATTATGAGGTCATTAGATTACTTGACAGTACATATACAAGCTCAACACATGATCATTAAAGAGCAATGATGAGAGCAAGCAGGACATGCCAAAATTAGACAAGGCAATAATAACAAATGCTGAGACTCATATCAAAAAGCACAAAGGGACACTCGAACAAAAGAAAAACCAGCAGAGTATATTTTTTATAGATTTTTTTAATAAGAAGCTAAGTTTATACTACAGTTAAATATTTTTTCCTAAATTGTTACATAAGTATATGAGCAAAGGGCCTGTGATGCTAATCACGTCATAATATCTACTAACAACATTGAGCTCAGCACAGGTCCATACTGGATCGACAGCAATTTAGAGATTCTAAGGCACCATACTCATGCATATTAAGTATGCACTTTGGCAGAAAACAACGCAAACAAAAAAGCATCAGAAACATCAATAGTCACAAGAAGTTGGTCGATGAATGCATGTGTAACAGAATAGATGTCAGAAATGGAGAGTTGAGTAGAGCAGAGAACTATCCATACCCAGAGAATTTGCTCAAACAATCTAGATTAAGAGCAAAAGAGAGAGTACATTTATAAAATCCTTTTAATGGAACAATAAACAACCCAGCAGATGCTATACAAAAGAGGTTCTCAACAGAAATATGCACCAAATCGAAGCAAAAAGAACCATGAATGTCACAGTGCAAATATTACAACCAATAGCAATTGAAAATTCCGGACTTTTATAACCCAAACTATCATTCAACTGAAGCACCACAATAATGCCACAAGATAGATGGATTAAAAAACCTTTGTTAATTGACCCTTGCAGAAAAGCTCAGGCCTCTGTAAAGGAAGCATCACCAACTCCTTCAACGTATCCTTGACATTTTCAAGTGCTCCAATATCATCAAATGTGACCCCAATATCACTTGGGGGAATAACGTCCGCTAGAAGCCTTTTCTCAAACTCATTTTCCGTCACAACATCCTAGATAAGCCATAAAATCATTTCCAAATTTATAGATTAACAACTTCCACAAAAGATACTAAAAAGTTGATGCAAAAATTAAGTTTATGTTGCATGCAAGACTACAACTTCACAAACGTATAATCTACTGGCAAGAAAGTATAAGAATCACCTTGAGTGTCTTCTTCAAGCTCTTGGACTCGTTCTGGATAGCTTGTAGAATACCAATCCCATACTGAATGCTGCTAATTTGTAAATGGCATTACAGTCATTTCAATTTCCAACCAACAACAAATATTCCACTAGTTGTCGATCAAAACAAGGTAAGTTGATATTTTTATTACCTCTCACTAGACAGAACAACCTTTGCAGCAGTATCAGCTTGAGGATTTTGCATTAAATAATGGCTTAGAGCCCATCCTACTACCTTCTCTGCACCTACAACCCATGTCAAAACATTTTGTATGTAACATTTTGTTTACAATAGGTCTACTAAACTATGAATGGAAATTGTCCAAGATATGTAGAAAGAATCATATTTGTCTTCTGATTGGATAGGAGTGGGGGACGAATGCCAACATACTTTCATTTGTAACTGTTTGGTCCTTGATGCACAATGTCTCAAGTCCATCACATCCCAACCCACACCGACTCAAAACCTACAAATGGTGAAAACAATTACTTATTACTATGATAATACTCAAACAAGAAGAATAAAAGAAAAATAAAAGCATCAAACTTCTTAAAGTTAGCGAAGTTAAGAACAATTAAAACAAATTGACCCACTTTGCAGTAGCAAAAAGAATAAGGATAAGTTCAGTTCGTGTAGGGTGAGGCGGGTTCATATCGGGTCTTAGCGGGTTCGTGTCAAAAAGTACTCACCCTTACATGATTTGTTTATTTATTCATGTCTAACAAAATCGTAGCATATTGAGTTCGTGTCATTTATAAATCATGTATAACCGGTATATAAACGAACCGTGTCATGTATTTTTTTTTTTTTAATTGGCTTCACCCATGTCTAATTCATTTATTAATCGTGTCGAGTCGGGTCTACTCGTTTACGAAATGAATAGTTTAAGACCATAATACTCTAATTTCGTGTGGTGTTAACGGATCATGTCATATTTTTTTGCTCCTACTTTTAATGTCCTTTGGCAAGAAATAAGTGTCCGCTAAAAAAAAAATTCAGTACCAGGACCTAAATGCTTGAAATGAGGATGGAGACTTCAATAATGTGTGAAATTCAACAATATTTTGGAAGTTTGACCTCAAAATGGAAACCTTCCTGAAATACTATATACGCAGAGAACTAAACATCATCATAATATTAACATTTAGCCATCAGCAACAATTATAAATACTAAATGTTTGTATTTCACTTGTACGTCATCTTTGAATCGCATGCCAAGAACAAAATAACCAAAAAAAAACGATTATAGGTTTTTGTTGTTAGGGTTATGTATCCCACATTATTTGGGTTTGGATTGTGGTATGGATTTGTATACACAGCAATTGTAATGTGCCGAACACTCATAAGAGTGGCCACAAAATCTCCATTAACAACAGCATTGATTAGTTTCAGTAAGTGTTAAAATATGGCGATGTAGCAGCTGTACAAATTTCTACCAGATGTTACAGGATGGGATCATAAACATACAAAATAGCTTGTGCAGTACACATACAAACGACCAAAAGCACGTGCTTTATCTCTGTTATAATCACATATTGGCTAGCACTTAAATCCAGAGTTCAAAAACATTGGCAGAAACACAAGGTCCATGAAAAATAGAAACATTAACTGCTGAGTGCTGACTAATCTAATAACACTGTGAACAACAATATGGACCAAGTATATTAGTCAGTAATGCCAAAAATAGCTCACAGTTCGTAGGCTATTCAGATTTCCCTTCATTTTGAGGGTTTCAGCATCTCGATCTAATTGATGCTTCCAACTCAGCAGGAGTGTCTCATCCTGTAACAGTTTATAAACAATCATAACATATAGAAGGCAAAAGAGAAGTGACTAGCCGGGATTTGAATCACAGACCTGTGGCATGAGAATGGTAACTTTGTTGGGAAAAAGTTTTGTCAGAAGTTTAGTTGCCTTGGGAACCTCCTTCCCCCTGTCATGCAGTCTCCCAAAACTATCCTGAGATAATCAAAATACAAAAATATAAGATAATCACAAAATGAAAACGCGCAGCAGGTAGAAAGTTTCCCATTTCCTGTACTATAAGCCATGAACAAGCACGAGAGATACAAATAAAAATATGGACATGAGATCTAAAACTAGTATAAAAATCCAGTTCAAAAGCTTGCATGATAGATTCAATCAAGTAAAACATTTTAGAGCTACCAATGACCCAAAGAAAACCATGTAATATAAGGCTACATGTAGAAGATAACTTAGCAGAACTGCAAATACAAATGTGCGACGGAAAAGATTACACATTTAAATAAGCGAAAACAAATGCATTAAGAAACTCCATTGTACAATCCCCTCTTTGAGCAATGATCGCTATTACTTACTAATATGGGAAGCTGAAGTTGGAAATAAAAGTGGAAATATGATGGAAAAATATCATCAAAACTTGGAAGTAGGTGTTGATAATCATTTAACTAAGCAGATATTGTCCTTATTTTATGAAAAAACCATTCACAGAAACCAAAAGAAAAACACGAATACCCAAAGTTGACATAGACATGTAAAGGGTAGCAGCTTTATGCCCAAGTATTCAAGATTAGAATAGAGATAGCCATTACCGGGAAAGCCAAGTCCAGCAGAGCGGTTTGATTGCTGCCAAATTTTGTGAAAAGCAAACCACCAGGATGTGACTGCACAAGACCAAAACTAAGTTCAATTATTAAAGATGCTATAGAAGCCAACCTGAAAATCAGTCTTTAAGAAGCCATGTCAAGCTTAAGCCCTGAACCTCCACAGGGAGAAGCTAGAATAAAAATGACTGGGGCCCGACCACCAAGGCTCCCCTTCAAAAGCCTTGTGACTTCAAGGCATAAACCTAAACAACCAAAAAAAAACTTTTGCAACAAAGAGTGTACCAAAGTAAATAACTTCCAGTGGTACACTTAAAACTTGACAAAACTGGAAGTAGAGGACCTCCAATGCATTTTCAATCACCCAAACGAACAGGCAGCCATCACTTGATTCAAAAAAAACTCTTTCACAGCTTATTCTCTCAAAAAATTTTGTTATAACATGTAACATCTTAAACATAAAAGAGATCGTAATCATTAACAGTCAATATAACTCAACAAAACCTCATCCAAATTATTTGGGGGGTCACAGGTCACTATAAATCTTGTTCCATTATAGTATCTCATCAAGGGTCATATCCTAGATCACATAGATCCGGAGCGAAAGCAGAGCAAGAGCGGAAGTGCGAAAGCACAATTTTTTTTAATAAGTTGAGTGCAGGAGCATCATCAAAATATGAGAAATAAAATTATTTCTTAGTGGTAAAGAAATAATATATACAAAATACCCACACTATGATGCCATAATTCTCCATGTGGGAAAACTTGGTGACAGCAGAGAGAAAAACAACCCAAGATACTGCAGATGACACTCTTAGGGTTAGAGTGCAGGTCTGATATGGTTCCTAGGATGTGATCACTAAAACGTTGGATGTCTCAATGCCATTTAGTTTAACTGTGTAATAGAATCGTATACTAACAAAGTAAAACATAGTCTCAGTATATTACTGACACTCAAATTTTTTTTCAGCTATATCATGACTACATTACCATCATTGTTAGCTAGAACATATATTTTTGTCTTCATGTTTATGAATGTTAAAACACATCATTTTATGCATCAGTACATTCCGTACGGGTTATAAATACATAAGCATATAGACAAGTCAACCCAACAGTGGGTAACCTCGTCAATCTCTGTCAAATATTACCTTCTCCTTACGGTTGTCTGTATGAGTGTGTGAACCAATTACGACAATGTTATCGGGAAGCTTCTCAAGCCTGCTTTTAAATGTAGAATATGATTCTGAATTCCCTACAATAGACTTCTCAGCATCTTTCATAAACAAAATGAAAGGAGCATTTCTGCTTTCGTTTAATACAGCCTAATAAAAATGAACAAGATCAATAAGTAGTTATGTGAACAAAACACAAAAAATTAAATTATAAAAAAATCAGTTATTGAAATAGGAATAACTCCTACCTCAAACAAGGTATTAATGAATAGTTTGTCCATTTCTTCTGCACCCGTGGTTTCCAGACGAAGTTCATTTACTTGATAGATAGATAATAGAGAGGCGGAGAGGAGAGTCAGAAATGCTTTAAAGAACACAATTAGTAAATTCCAAAGCATTAGTAAGGAATCAACACAATAGGGCTATACCATTGCAGAAGAATCCATAACCCCTGTCACAGAGACCCCCAAAGTCCACCCCATCTTGTACGGGTTTATCAAATTTTACACCGATTTTTGATGAGGGGTTATCTTCAAATGGTAGTATAACCTTCCCACGAGCTCCGAAAGTTGGGCCCCTAAAAGGTTAACCAAAGTCATAAACTATGCCAGTGTAATCAGAACTCATACTGCCCCAAAAATAAGACAGGAGAAAGTTGCATAGAAACCCAAAAAAAAAATAGAAAAAGAAAAAGGAAAATGGATAGCCTATAGAGCAATATCTTGCCACCAGAGTCACGAGGGACAGACGATAGTGAAACTGATTCTAACCATACAATAGGAATTAATACACTTCAGAAGAAACAGATCTCATGGAGAGCAGAAATGCCAACAAATATGTATTTTTACTCCACCAAAAAATGGACAAATGACAAAAAGGGGAAAACCAGCATCTATTAGTGAACCGATCATTGAAACCCCAGGGGGACAAAAACTAGAGAACTGTTTATTAGAATAACATTATATATCGTGCATTTTCCAAATAAAAACCTGTAAGCTTTGGTATTAAAAATCAAACCTTGAAGAAGATGAAGGCGAATATAGACCACCAGAAGCAGAACCAATGAATCTAACTCTGTCATCTACAGTTTCATTGATTCATTTAAAGAAAACATGAGCCATATGTTTATCAATGTGAAAAGGCGACACAAGAAGGCCTAGCAAACATAACACCAAAAGTTACATACATAGTTTAAACAAGGGATTCTTAGATGTCCCTGCAGAAGAAGGCATAATATCAGTCTCCATAGTTGATTGTGCTTCCAGGGGAATAGAAGAAGGAACAAATGAAGAGCCAGGATTCTCAGCGTCACCAGATGAAGTTCCTGTGCCCTTAGCCAAATCAGAAGGTCCAGGACTTTGCTTGGTCATGTTGCACAATTTTTCAGCATTATATCCTTCTTTCATAAGCTCGGCTTCCTTCATCGATAAACCCTACAGCAATAATTGATTTAACCAATTACTATGTTTTCTTCCTGGCTGGTAAAAATAATGATAACCACAGAATAATACTAATAAGAAACAAGAGGAGAATATTAATAAGAAAACAAAAATGTGTAAAACAGTGATGTGAGCAAATTAACCATGATTCAACTCTAATTCTCTTTGCAAAACTCTAAAATGAGAATAATCTTCTATCAAATAATACACATTAATTACTCTTACACCCAAAAATGAATGGCTATCAAATATTAGCAACTTAGCCCCAAAATAAGAGGCAAGCGCCTTTGCCAGCATCTCTTGATATATCTCAGATCCTGAAACAAGGAAAATTTGAAAATGAAATTGAGAAACGAATGGTTAACCTTTGTAAAGCATCATTTAGTCAAGTAAACAAAGGCAATATCAGAACAGATTTTAGTTTTACTACAAACAATACCCACATACCTGCAGGACCAGAAAGTAAAATTCTCGGATTCACAGTAGGAAGCTCAGAGGTGTATTTAACTTGTTCTCTGTGCTTCAAGTGAATGTATGAGGCTGCAATCAGTACGTTTTTTGTGTTTTCACTGCAAGGGAAGGATAACAAAAAGGAATTCACAAATTGCCGACATGTCCAAGAACAATCACCATGTAGTATATAGCTCAGCAGTTTATGAACATAGGAGATCTATCTTAGCAATATGCATATGAACAGAAAATAGCAAAATAATTAGTATCCAGAGATGTTAATGATAAACAAAAAAAAAAACAGGGAGTTATGGAGAATAAAAGCGGCATAAGAAAATACTAGCATTCATTGACGCATTAAAGATTTTTGAACATACTATGATGCCAAGAAGCCTTTGAGTAAGATCTTCAATCTACCCCATCTTTGAGTTAGGTGATTGTGCAAGTGCAACACAATGGTGGCCACATGAATTATGTCATAATAGAATGAGGCACATAGGAGCAAAGCAGCATGGTGGTTTAAGCACGAAGGCTTCTCTTATTCTTACAGGTTGTTTAGTTGTTGTATTATAGAGGGGTTTAAAGGGGTATATTGGACTAAAGCTCTTTAATTTCAGTTTATACCACGTTGGGATGTAAAAAATGTCTCCATACTTTTGTAAAGGATTAAGAAGACATGTATCTCACACATACTTTTAATACCATCTATCCGCATTTAATACCACCAAAAGAGGTGGTCTTGTAAGACATTATATCGTCATTCTACAATTTTTCTAAGTTATCAGGCACATGTTTTTATGCAAACCTCCATGCTATCCAGTGCATGCTTTTATGTCAGAGGAAGGAGCATCAGATGGATGTTTATTTGATTGTCTTTTTTATCGTCAAGCTACTCCATTCAGAACTGTTCTTTGCTTCACATACTAATTCCTTCGAATCCAATTACGGGGAATGGAAGAAGAAACAGCAAATCCATATACCTAATTTGTCATGTTTGCAATAAGGCCTTTCTCATTGATCAACTCGCCTCCGCTCTATTGAAAGGTCTCCATTCCTTCGATGATTTTATCAACAAACACATATCAGGCTAGATTGACTAACCTAACCCTTTAGGAGGCCTTGCTATTGTTGGGTGCTCTCTTTAGTGTGATTGATGAAAGCTAGGCTAGATTTGATAATACCAAAACAAATAAAAAGAGGTCAGAGTCGATGGTTGGCAAGGCAACAAATCACTATGGGTCTACTTTCAACCCACAAACAAGTGATACCCCAAATCAACTAAACCCACTATCTGCCATCACCACCAGACATCAAGGACCACTTATCACCAAAGCCATGCATCAGCCATCTATTAATAGCCATAAACCCTAAACTTTCTCAATAGCTAAATAGTTGTTTCCATCAGTCAAACATTAAGTTGCTTCTTTCTATGGCATATCTGAGTCTATCCACCTCATTCTTTGCTTTCAATAAATTGGTTTATCTAGCCCAATTTTATCTAAAATAATTTTCTTCACTAGAAACATAAAATTTACTGATCAACTTGACAGTTATAATATGAAAGTGTGCTTTAGCGCTAAATGATCAAACTTGTTAGAGATTGGTGAGCTTGTTCAAATACTGATTGAGACTAGAAACGGTGCATGATATCCGTTAGTATATCTAGTGACTTTGGCATTAATCTTACCAATTGCAACGTCCACGGTGTAAATTTAGCTATGAAGATTGTGAAGAATTAATTGTATAACTGAATAGCAATCAATAGATGATTTACAGCTTTATTGTATAAAATATACATAAAAGAAGACACTTCAATGATGTCAATAATTTAGTTCAAAAAAAATGATGTCGATAATGAAGTTATTATGCAATACTTTTCAAAATATGAAACTCACCAAAACTAATTGTGAACAGTTATAACTAGCCTCACTTTTAGTAAAAGGTTAAAGGTTGCAATTAGCCAATTTATTGCTAATTCTTGTGCGTGTACACCACGTAAACTAACTTTTGACCTCTGTGTTTCGTAAATATTTTGAAGTATCAAATATGATATAAACAAATATAAAAATGTAGGGGAAAAATTAAAACCTGGAGTTCAAGGGCCTACTAAAGAATAAATTTTTAGCTTTGCCACAAAGTTCAGGGGTAGTTTTGTATAATTACCACAAAGAAAAAATGAGGGCAAATACTGCAATAGCTTATAAGATAGTGCAAAGAATAATGAAACATGAAAGTAAACATCCAACAAGCATGGACATTGGACACGGATATGACATAATACTAACACATTGACACGAATTTTTAAAAAAAAGTAGGACACGAACATGTCGATAGACACACTAAATGTTATATATTTATATATGTATATATAATCTTGCAATAAAATAAATATATTATAACAACAATCATTTGACTCATCACTTCCTTAAATTCTAACAATTCATAAAAAAATTATGAGATATAGTGATACACATTCATCATAAATATCCAAGATCTAACAATCAATGACTACAACAATTTCCACTTTCAAAAATATCCCAATTTATAACACTAACTTTCCATCAACTTTAAAGAGCCCCAATTTCATAACCCTATTTTTCATCAAATTACTTTTATATAAAAAGTTCATTCCATTAGTATATAATTTTGTAATCATGTTCGAAATTATGCTTATATTGGTATCCTATGTTCATGTAATGATTATGACTTCGATCATATATCTTTAAAATTAAAAAACTAACTTTCTATTTATAAAATTACTTGACAAGTTTTCAAAAATTAAAAAAAAAAACTCAAATGTGTCCCCCCAACGTGTCCCGAGATTGTTGGTTGTGTTTCCCTAACGTATCCGGAAAAAAATATAACACTAAAAAAATTGGACACTCATTTTAGCATGTCTAACATGTGTCCGAGAGTGTCCCAAGCGTACTTGTGTCCCAAACATGTCAGGCACCAACTGGCCAAAATTAATGTTCTTACTTCCTAGGTAAACATAATAGGCAGCAAAAAGTTCACACCTTAAATAATATGGGAAGTCGTCAAATGAAACTTCAATGTCACGTCCATTGAGAATCCCAGCATGAATGTCTTGTTTGAATGCTGCACATCTCAAAGGCATCCCTGATGTTGATGTTGGCAATGAATCTCTGGTCCAGTCTTTTTCTTCTAATACCTGTCCAGATATACTTTTTTTCAATTCCTGATGACAACAATTGGATATAGCAAACCTCTGGAATAAAGGTCTTCGCAAATCATTTGGCCCAGAAAATTTTACATTGCCTGCCTCTGTGATGGAGTCTGGATTGCCATCAAGTGGAAGAATCTTGCTGGTAGCTCCACCATCGGCGGCACTATCACACTCAATATTTGTACCCGAATTGACTTCCAGGCCATCAAGCTCATCATCTTGAACAATAGGAGGATGGGGCAGCTCAGCCCCTTGTAGTGTTTGACCACTGTCCAGAGATGTAGGTTTCAACCGGGATAAATCTTGTCGCGGGCTTGAAAGAGATGCTAAAATAGAAGCACCAGCAACCGCTGAAGCATCTCCTGCTCGTCTTTCACCATTCAGCAATTTATCTACGCTAGTCTGAACATCTGTCAAAGGTGTCTTAAATATACGGTCATTGGGTTGTTGCTGGAATATCTATAGGAGAAACATTAAGGACGTTCCACATTTAAAAAAAATCACAAAAAAAGGAAAAAATCACAAAAAACCAGCAAGTAATGTAATGAACAGCCAGCATCAAATGAAAAGGAAAAGGATACATAAGCATGATTCCCCAGCAAACTGAATACCACCTCATCCCCTGAGTTGAGGACACAACTAGTACTCCTCTTAACGATCTTTCCATTGACTTGCACAGATCCCTTGCTTCCCTTGCTTTCAAGAACAGCAATAGAACTCCCTTCACGCTGGTCATTTCCACAAACAATTAGTACTCATACTGCATGCACACCATGTGGAGTTCATTTCCAAAAATAAACAAAAAAAATAATAGCACCCAAAAATCAACGACAAACAACAACCCACTCTATATAGTAGTGAGATCAGTGCTTGTCTATGGGTGGTTTTGCTCATTTATTCCATTCCAATCCCCAAGAATAAGTAGCAATGTCAGTCTAAGATCAAAGTGATACCTGTAAGAGCCTGAGAGCACACAAAACCCCGCTAATGGTCTGATCCTTTATCAAAAGATTGGCATGTTTGCCTGAACCAACTAAGAAGTTCGTTGGGTAAACAGATACAGTCGAGTTCTGAAGCATAAGATGCAGTTAGATAATCATAATATCAAACATAACCAAATGGGTATATGTGGGTCCAACTAACATATAAAATCATAGAACAACCACAAATGAACTCAACTTTACATAGAAATTTCTAAACACAGTTATTTATCGAGCGATTGAATCACCTGTGGATACTGTGTTAGAAGCTTACACCAAGGCGTGGTGGTCTCGTGACCTTGATTTTGCTTCCAAGAAGAAAATGTACTTCTCGGCTTATCCACTATAGTCGGTGTAGTCCCTTTAAAAATCAACAAACAAACTTCAACCTCTTGAACTCAAATTGACACCTACCAGCAAAAAACGTATATATACATGCATTCCAATATGTAGTGTGTGAGTGTGTGCGCGCGCCAATAGTAGAGTGAAGAACAAACTTGCCTTCAGCGATCGGCGTCACCACAGAAACAGCCGGAGCCGCGTCCCCCTTCACAGCCTCTCCGCCGCCGCTTCCCCCCGCCAGAGGATCACCAACGGCACTTTCCGTTGGATCTGCTTGCAGTTGTGAGCACAATTCCTTGGAATTCTCCGCCGGCGCCGATTTCTCCGAAGCTCCAAGATTCTCACCCTACAATTCAACCAAATCAAGTCACAAAGCATCATAAAATCGACAAAGAAATCCAAATTTCGCCGCTTTCACAAAACGCCAAAAAAGAAAAAGAAAATCAACGGCCATGATTTGATTGACGCCCGGACCTTTTGTCGCTTCGGCGACAGAGGTTTATCTTCCGACGACGACGATCTCTTGCTGTTGTTATTGTTGTTCGATAAAGATCCACTTCGTCTCGTGGATACCATTTCTGCCTCTTCTTGGTCCTCTCTCTTCGAAGCTTTAGAGAGAGAAAGATAGAAAGAGAGCGAAGAGGAACTTCGGACAGAGAAAGAGAACAACTGAGAGAGATAAAGAAGATATATAAAAGGGTTTTAAATTTTTAATTGTTAATTTTATATGAATCAGGTTTTTCTTCCAATTTTAAACATTAAAACCCACGTGGGCAATGAGCGTATTTGAAATGGTTCGTTTAAATCCGAGCTTATTAGACGGTTTTTTTCATCAATTTTTTAAATAAAAATAATTTTTATCAGTAAAAAAGAAAAGCTCAAAATTAAAACTTATCCACCGACTTTTAAAGGAAAATCGGTTTTTTTCGAAACATTTTAAAAGGTTTCAAGAACTTTTTTTTAACTCAATTTTTTTAATTTTATTTTTAAATCTTTGTTCCCACCAAAAAAAAAATCCAATTTTAAATTGCTCCTATATATATATATATATATATATCGGTCATCCACATGATATATTAACAAGAAATTTTATATAAAATTAATAACTAAAAAATTAAATTAAAATTTTGAAAACTATTTTTTAACACAGAAGTGAAATTTGAAAGACTAATTATGCATAGCAAATTAGTTTTTTTTCTATTTTTTTAACAACAAATTTGTGTTTTTATTTCTTTATTTTTAAAATTGATTTTGGTGTTTCGGTTGGTGCGCGGAATAAAACCCCTTTATGGTCTTTATAAAGGAGACTGGAGACGTACAACGGCACAATGGACGGCGTAGGTTAGCTTTTTTGTTTATTGGGATCTAACATACGCGGGTGGTCTTATGTGTGTGCTGCTTCCCGTAATTGCCGTTGAAAGTGTTGTACTTGTACCTGCTAGCTTAGACCAGCAAAGTGATATGGGGGTAGTTGGAAGCCTAAACCTAATATTTATTTTTTTTCTCAATTTTTTCATAATTAAAAATCATCCCCGATCATATGCTACTTAAACTTATAAGAGAAAATTTTAGCAACACCATTCTAGTTTACATATCTTCAAAAATACTCTTACTATTTTCTGAATTTATATTGATATTCTCTATTAGATTAAAAAATTTAATTAGAATGTAATTTTACTAAATTTTCTATAATATATTTTAAAAAAAAACTTCATCTGTATCTCCTCTAGATATATATATCTTCAATGAGACATTCTCTACTTTCTAAATTTTTTAACGTATTAAAATTTTAGCCGATTAAAGTTAATTTCTAGCTAATTAAAATTTGAGTCAATTAAAAATTATATTTTTTACTTATTAAAATTTTAACTGATTAAAATTATGTCCGAGACTCAAATCAAATTTTAAACAACTCACATTAATTTTTAATCTGCTCGAATTTTGATACATAAAAATATAAATTTTAATCTACTCAAATTTTAATACATAAAAAATAAAATTTAATCAACTTGAATCTAATTTTAATAAATAAATAAATATAAATTTTAATCAACTCGAAAAAAATTTTAATCGAAGCTAACAGTTCAATTTTTTTACATATTAAAATCAACTTGAATTTTAATACTTAAAAAAATATTTTTAATAGGCTTAAAATTTAGTAAGTTAAAAAATAAATTTTAATCGACTAAAATTTTAATATGTTGAAAAAAAATTAATCAGCTCGAATTTTAGTATGTAAAAAAATAAATTTTAATCGAATCAAATTTTATGTAGACAAATTGTTTGGGATTTATTTAGGGATAATTTTGATATTTTACATAATTTATTTTTGTTATAAATTATGGTTTTAATGACAAATGGTGTCAATGATATTTAAATATAAACTAGAATGGATGTTAGTGATGTTTTTGACAATAGAGGAGATATTCTTGAAGATAAGATAAATTAAAAAGGGTGTGGCTGAATTTTTTTCAATTTATAATTATTATGTAAATTTCAGATAAACATCAAAATGTTTTTAGCATAATTTAAACTTTGACTCTTTTGATTGTTTGGTTAGTAAAAGAATTTAAACTTTTGATTCTCTATTTTACTCTTATAAAAAATTATAAAGACCACTTTATTATTTCACAATTGAATATCTAAATTATCTATTATCTCACAATTGAATATCTAAATTATCTATTATCTCATTATGTATTTAAATCTCTCAATTACCTCTAACTTTTCTTTTAATTATCTATTCTCTTTATATAAATATCAATTTCTATGAAACTTTTTGATTGACTATATTATCTTTAAAAAATATGCATTATTATATTTTCAATAAAATGTTCAAAAACTTTATCAATTTAATATTACTCATTTTATATGCAAAAATAACATAATCCGCATATATGTTTATTTTTTAAAAAAAAAGTTTAATCCTTTTATTTCTAAGATAAAATATATATATATTTAAAATTAATTTATTCTACATCAACATAATATTTTAATTTACAATAAACTTTTTAAGTTGTATTAAGATTTTATGTGAAAATAGTTTGAAGTTTATTCTAAAGTAAAACTTTAATTTTTTAAAATTTTGATATGTTTTAAAATATATATTATAGAGTATTATATTAAATCTTATTATAATTGATGTAACTAATTCTTAATTGTAGTAAAGTTTCAATATAATTAAGTAGAATATTGAAAATTATTTTTATCTTTTTCAAGGAATTATAAGTGAAATCCTGATAGAATGAATTTTAAAAAATTTAATTTCTCAAAACATTATTAAAAATTCACTCTCAATCACAAAATTCTAAAAAATAGAACTTTAACTATTTTTTATCTTCTTTTTTTTATAGTTAGAATAACAAATTTTAGAAATATACGAAGTTTTTATAATTCTATAATAGAATATATGTAATGAAAAATTAAGTCTGATTAATTTGAGATAATATTTAATTCAGATACACATATACTAATATATTATATCAACTTTTATGTACAAAAATTATTCACGTGCAACGCACATGGTATATTGCTAGTCTCATAAAAGCGGATAAAATATAAGATAAAATATGGGAGAAAAATACTAGCCACTGTAATTTAGTGTTTGGTACTAATTATATATTGACTAAAAACCTATCAATCTAATCTAGTTATTTATATTCTTGTTCATTTAGTGGGAAAATTAGTAAATTTATTATTTGATACGCTTTAACTGAAATAATAAATGTATTATCGACCCAATAGCATATTATTCGTATATGTATTTAAAATAAATATATATTTAGTACGGAGTGTTTTTTACAACCAAATATAATATAATTTATTATGATTCTGCGATTCATCCTCTAATATTGCAACCAAACGGCTCGTCTATGTATTAACCACTTATCATTACCATCCGAACTATTTGACTGAATAAATAAAATTTACCAACATATATTATTAAAACAATGGATGCGTTATTGTAATATATGCCACCATGTGTTCTCATAGATATTTTTATAACAATGTCATTGTACCACCTTTGTGCACTATCTAATTTATACCATTTGATCTTAACCTTCATTGAATTCAAAGGGCCCCATTAATCTAATAGTTCATATTAAAATGGTGCATAAAGATGGTGTGTGCAACATTACTCATATTTTTAATCCCTTAGTTTTTAATATGTCAGATATTATAAACTTAATTTTTTTTACCAAACTATATGTAGCTCAAATGAACAAATTGTTATTTTTTGCAACAATATTTCAACACTCCATAGGACACAAGGGCGGCACTGAGTTAGAGTAATGCTACATTGACTTGAAAATTAAATTTGATAATCACAATCATTGAATAAGTAGTAGGTCATAATAAATACTGAGACTCACAGTGAAATCAATGATTGTGATTATCAAATCTAATTTTTAAGTTTATTTTTTAAATTATTGTACATAATTATTATAGAATCCTAGAATCCCTCGTACTAATCATGGAATTTAACATTGAGTTTTCAATAGGTACAACACATGAGGATATGTCTTTACGCAACATAAAATTATTCTCCCGGGATAATATTTTCATTTGTAAGATAAAATTGTACATATCTGATACTATGTAAACTTCGCTCTAGCAAAAACCTCAACCACTTTTTTTTTTTTGTAAGAGAATAAATATGGGTTTTGTTGGAAAAAAGAAAACACATGGCATTTGCAAGGTTCAATATTTTTATAAATGATGATGTACACCACCGCATAATACTGTCACGTGACGTTTGATAAACACTAATGTTCCATTTGGTAGGAATGATGAAAAATATGAATGATACATTTTCTGTCATTGAAAGATGGAAAGTATAAATAATACATTTTCCTTCCTTTGTGTTTGGTTGGATGGATAAAAAATAAAAATGACTAATTATTTTTTAATTTTTTTAAGATTATGGGTGACAATCGAGTCGTGTCGTGTCAGATCCGTGTTGAGTCATAAAATTATGAGCTTTTTATATTTCTTGTTTGCGTATCAGGTCATTTTCAAGTTCGTGTCGAGTTATAATCAAGTTTGAGTCATAAAATTCGTGTCGAGTTCGAGTCGTGTCATTGTGTTGAATCGAAAATTTTCACCCCTAGTTAAGAAGAAAAAATATTTTTTTAATTTAAAATTTTGATTTATTTTAATTTAAATTTTAAATTTAATTTTTTTTAATATATATATATATATAAATACATATTTTATGATTGTATTTTTTATGAAATTAGTATATATATAATATATAGACAAATAAGATACATCTCAACACAAATAATTAACTTTTCATTCACTTTCTTTTCGATTTTGGAGGGATTAATTTTGGTGAGTTGGAAGGAAAGTTAATTCATCAACTTTTTCATTCTTCCTATTTTCCTTTCTTACCAAATATAATATTTTATTTATCCTTCTAATTTTTCATCCTTCTAATTTTTCATCCATCTATTTTTTCATCATACCAAACAGAGCATAAATATGTTATCCTCAGAGCAAATCAAAGTTGAAAACCGATGTTAACCCATCCATAACCAAGCCCGAACTTTGCGGCCTAAAGAAAGGCTTAGTTGGAACTCATGCCGTCAGCGGATAGAGTTTAGATTGAATTTTAATTGATCCGAATTTGATTTTATAACTCCGATATGATAATCTGAAAAA